TATAATTTTAAAAATGCAAAGTTATGCTAAATTTTGTAAACAAATGTAAGACAATCACATTCACTTTACTACTCATATTTTTAGTAATACTTAAGGATGTCAAGTTTTAGATATTAGCCACACACATTCATACATACAACGCTACATTATTGACGGGGGAAATACGTAAAAATTAAGGCTTTTGATTTTCGTTCGCAAGCTATGAAAATATTTATCGAATTGAAATAATATTCAACATGGTACTGCTGCAATAATCAACATATTTAAAAATATATATATATCTATGTATAAYTTAATGAATGTTGATCGACTTAAGTTTCGATTTTCTTAAAAAAAAAATGGAGAGAAATACAGTATTGATGATCACAAATGTTTAATAGGGACTAATATTTCAACATTATTATCGATGACATCCGATTATAAATTTATCGATTTTTATCGATAACTTTAAATCGCTGGAATTCGATAAAAATCCCTATTATGTAACAAAATAATAATTTAGAAAATGTTTTTCGAAAGGCAGTTACAAATTTCTTTAAGAAAATTTTCAAATTTTAAAATCGTATCACTATTATTTAAATTTTATCAACAATTCGATATATGTACATGTTCACCAAATATGCACGCTTAAATTTACGGTAAAATATGTATGTCTCGATATTAGATTCATAAGTCTGCTTTTTAGGCAATATTTTTACTCGTAAAGTATATTTTTTGGTTTTATTTGTAGTAAGTTTTCGCAAAATTTTTCATAATTTCAAACGAAAATCAAGCGATATTATATAACAGTGGGCTGTAATGTGTAAATACTTTTTGAAACACATAGTGAGTGGAAGGATTGAAGAGTTAATGGTTCTAACTTAGAATTTTGTACTTTTATCGATACTTTAGTTCATCGAAGCGAGATTTCAGGTTTATTATAGTTAAGATTTTATAGCGGTATTTATTGTATAAAACTAGGGGCACTATTCTAATTAGAATGCAGTTAATATATTTTATTTGGATAATTAGAATTATTTAGTATTAAAAGTAAGCTTTGTTTATAAGTTAGTGGTTTTCTGAAATCACTTAAAGAACTTTATTCAATAAATTTTTAGAAAACTAT